GCTGTGTTCATCCAGTTCTACACCGTGTTATATCACATAATTACCTAAACTCTGTTTTAAATGAGTGACCTCTGATTTTTAAACAGTTACCCCTAGATGTAGATTCTCCTACAAGAGAAAACATCTGATTTACATCAATCCTGTCAAGACCTTTCAGTGTCTCTGTGTATTTCACTCAAGTAGCCTCTTACTCATTAAACCTCAGTAGATACAAACCTAACCTGTGCAACCTTTCCTCATAAGACAACCCGCCTATTCCAGAAATTAGTGTTGTAAACCTTGTGTGAACTGATTCCAACACATTAACGTCCTTTCTTCAGTAAGGAGATCAATATTGTACACAATACTCCAGATGTGGTCTCACCAGTACCCTGTATAACTGAAGCATCATCTCCCTATTTTTGTAATCAAATTCCCTGTGCAATAAATGATAGCATTCTATTAGCTTTCCCAATTACTTGCTGTACCCGCTGCATACTAATATTTTACTATTCATGCAGTAGGACACCTGGATTCTTCATCTCAGAACTCTGAAATCTCTCACCATTTAGACAATGTGCTTTTTTATTCTTCTTGTCAAAATGGGCAATGACATATTTTCCCACATTCGCACCTTTAGCTTCACAGATTGTCCCAAGACACGATACAGAAATGATATCAAACAAAGTCTGACACCAAGTAGCTGACAAAAAACTTAATCATTGAGGGGCTTGGGGTTTAAGTAGCCTCTTAAAAGAGGGAATAAGGTCTTGAAATGGTTTTGTTTTATCTGCCTGAATGTGAGGAAGTGTATGGGTTAATTGGTAAAATCACTGCCACATATGCTGCAGTGACTTACAGCCTGAAATATGCCATTTGGTAAGATTTTATGTTCTCATTAAGCCTTCTCCTACCCTCCATCTCAATTTATAAGTTCTGTGTTTTTTATTCCTTCTTCCCTCGTGCTCCCTAAACTGACCTCATAAGACACTCCATTATTAAATATAACAGTTCAAGGAGCTCCACCACATTCTGAAAGCAGAGAGGGATGGGAAATTAATATCATAGTCCAAGGTTGCATTTTAAGATGGCTATTGCAACAGGAGTCCAGTACTTTATATTTGCATGTGTTTGCCCTCAGGAGGGTGACCACCGATGGAACTGTACGGTGGCAAAGGCTCTACATGTGTTGTACTCCCTGTTTGGACCTTTCATAAAGACTTACGGAATTGGCAGATGTGCAAAGGTAATGGAACATGAAATGACAATGAATTATTAATTGGACAATTCATCTGATTACTGCTGTGGAACCATTAGTTTACTGATGATGAAAGGATGTGGAAAAATGGCTGGTTAGAATTACACAAGCCTATTCATCTTTTGAACCTTGTCATTTGTGTCACTGGACTCATTCTGTATTGAATTGTTACAGCCATCCATCAGCGTTCCTTTGAAATCAAGATTGCAGGGATGAAAGGTCACGATGTAACTTTGAGTTTTACCCTTCCCAGCACACATGCACAGACTTGTCAGGGTTTGAGAATTGAACCAAGACTGAAGTGCATGTCCAGATAATATGCTTTATTCCTGCACAGACTATAAAAGGTAAAGGCACTATCACTGAGTTAAGTAGACTGTGAGACCTTCCATTTTTTGGATGTTGGCTGTGGCTGTAACTCTAACTCAGACTTCGGGAGGGAAGGTTTCCTCAGAATAGTTATAAGGATTCTGTATGAATTCATTTTGAACGTGGTCTCTGACCACTTCCTAGTGTTCCCAGGTCCACAGTACACAGCGTCTTTAATTGAGTCACGCACAGACATTTCTGAGTGTGCAAAAGGGCCAGTATTCATATTGTTCTGAACTTTTGGCTGAGTCTTGTACAGACAAAAGAAAGGAGCTTTTCTCTGTATCCATGTTGTGAATTATTTACTGTTGGAGTAACTGATGGAACAGTGTAAAAGGAGCTTTACTATCCATCTAATTCCATCCTGTACCTGCCCTGAGAATGTTTAATGGGCACATTGTAGAGGGAATTTCCTTCCAAATCTAACCCAGTGCTGTAATATTTCCACCCAGGCTGTACACATGCACACCCATTCCAGTGTTCCGCGCACAGTCATCAGTGTCAGCACTCTGGTGGCATTGACTTCCAATTCCAGAATTCACTGCAGTACATGGGCCTCAGAGTCCTGCACAGCCAGTTAGAAAATTAAATAGAATGCTGGATGTACCTGTCCTGGAGTGTTTGATGAGATAGTGTAGAGGGATCTTTGCTCTATTTAACCTTGTGATATATCTGCCCTGAAGTACTTCATACTCAGCACTGTCCTCCCCCATTTTAATGAATGCAAAATTGCTATCAAACATGCAAAAAGTACTGTTTTGGTTTCTGATCATTTGTAGAATTATACTTTAATCTCTTCCCTCTCTCTTTTACCCTCTGGATTAGATGACCTACGAGCTGTGGAAGGAGATGGTGGAGGATTCAGAGAATGAAATTAAACCACATCAGGCTGAGATTGGTCGAGTTTTCTTTCTTGACAGAGGTGCTGCAATGTAACAGAAATGAGTAATGTGCAGAAATGAGTACTGAAAATGTAGCTTCGATTGACCAATTGCCCTGGGGCAACTTGTTTTGAGCCATGTGTCTTCCTGCCAATAAAGTGGGCACTGACCTTGGCTGGGATACCATTCCTCAAGCTGCCCTCTGATATCTTACTCAGGGACGTTGCTTGGGTGTAAGGGTAGGAAGACTGTCTCCCTGTAGTGAGAAAGCATCGCAGGCGCAGCAGACCTAGTATTTGGCCATTGTTCGCGCACACAGTGGCAAAGTGGTTAGCACTGCTGCCTCACAGCCAGGTTGCCAGGTTCAATTCCAGCCTTGGATGTCTGTGTGGAGTTTACACATTCTCCCCGTGTCTGCAGGGGTTTCCTCCGGGCGCCCCGGTTTTCTACCACAGTCCAAAGTTGTGCAGGTTGGGTGGATTGGCCATGCTAAATTGCTCATCGTGTCCAGGGATGTGCAGGCTAGGTGGGTTAGCCATGGGAAATGCAAGGTTATAGGGATAGGGTGGGTTGGATCTAGGTGGGATGCTATTCAGTGTGTTGGTGTGGACTAAATGGGCCAAATGGCCTGCTTCCACATGGTGGAGATTCTATGATAAGTCGATGACACAGTGAACAGCAAGGAAACAGACCGTTTTCTCAATTGGTCTGTGTTGCTGTTTGCATTCCACAAGCCTCCTTTCATGTTTTTTTCACCTGATGGAAGGGGCATAACCTGCTTAATTTTCTGCATGAGTTGCTGGAAAATCATCAGGGCCAAGAAATGTTGCTCCTAAGGGGCACCAAGCACAGTTGTAATGTATACTAGTGTTTCAGTTAAAATCATCAAACTTGAACATTACTAATTCCCTGACTTGTAAAGCTCCTTCACACAATATCACAGGAGTTACTATCGACCAGAAACTGAACTGGATCAGCCACATGAATACTGTGGCTTCAAGAGCAAACCAAATGCTGGGAATTCTGCAATGAGTAAGTCACCTCCTGACTCTTCAATGGATATCTGCCTTTTACAAGAAACAAGTCAGGAGTATGATGACTCCTTCCCTCTTGCCTAGATGAGTGAATCTCTGACAGTTATCAAGAAGCTCATCCAAAACAAAGCCATCTGCTTGATTGGCAGCCCACCTTCAACATTCAAACCAGCCATAGTGGCAGTAGTGTGTGCCATTTACAAAATGCACAGCAACAACTTGCCAACGCACCTCCAACACTTCCTTACAAACTTACTGTACCACTCATTCTGAAGAAGGGTCACTCAACCCAAAATGTTAACTGTTTTCTCTGCACAGGTGCTGCCGCACCTGAGTTTTTCCAGCAATTTCTTTTTTTGTTTCACTCTACTGTTCATTAGGGCAAGAGCAGCAGATGCATGGGGACACCACTACCTGCAAGTTTCTTTTCAAGCTACACATCATACTGTCTTAGAACTATATCGCTGTCCCTGTACCGTCATTGGTTAAAAATCCTGGAACTTCCTTCATAACAGCACTGAGAGTGTATCTGCACCACGTGGTCTGCAGCAGTTCAAGAAAGGTGGCTAACCATCACCTTCTCAAGGGATTTGGGGATGGGCAACAAGGCTGGTCTAGCCAGTGACCCCCAATTCCCACAAAAATAATCACTAGCCAGCATTTTTACCTGCTGAACCAGAATTAATGCAGCTGCTGGGGTAGGCCTACCTGTAAATGGGTTGTGTATCAGTAAACCATGCTGTGCCTTGAATTTGAACCCATTTGCTTTTCTTTGCAGATGTGGATTATGTGACTCCTATGTGTTCTCAAGTTGTGTATGAGGGACTTGTGGATGATGTGTTCAGAATAAAATGCGGTGAGTGAGTCTCCACTTTGTTGCATTTATTGATGGTGTGTAAACTGTAAATGTCCTTTAGAATTGACTAGAGCTGATGGCAGGCAGAATGGGAGTGGGTAGGTAGACAGTGGGATGTGTGTGAGCCATGTGCAGCCTTTTGCATCATCTTAAGAAGGTAACTGTGGTTTAATGCCTCATCAGAAAGGCTTTGACAGCGCAGTACTCCCTCATTGCAGCCCAATGGGTATTGCTATAAAAACAGAAAGTGTGGAGAAACTCAGTAGGTCTAGAACCATCTGTGGAGAGAGGAATAGTGTGAACGTTACAAGTTCAATATGACTGTTCTCTGGAACTGACGAGAAATTGAATTGTGATAACAAGGTGTAGAGCTGGATGAACACAGCAGGCCAAGAAGGGTCTAGGTCCAAAACGTCAGCCTTCCTGCTCCTCTGATGCTGCTTGGCCTGCTGTGTTCATCCAGCTCTACACCTTGTTATCTCAGATTTTCCAGCATCTGCAGTTCCTACTCTCTCGGAAATTGAAGTGTGATGGGTTTTCAGAAAAGAGGATGATCGGTGGAAAAGAAGGAATATTGTGTGCTCAAATGTCCATTTTGGGGCTTGAACCTACGAGATTTGACTTATTTCAGAATGTTACCCACTGTACCACTATGGTTGAACATGCTATTGACACTATTGTGGTGATTATTGAAACACATATGATTCTGTGGGAGATAGTAGGAACTGCAGATGCTGGAGAATCCGAGACAACAAGGTGCAGGGCTGGATGAACACAGCAGGCCAAGCAGCATCATAGGAGCAGAGAGGCTGACGTTTCGGGCCTAGACCCTTCATCAGAAAAGGGGGAGGGGAAGGGGGTTTTGAAATAAATAGGGAGAGAGTGGGAGGCGGATAGAAGAGGGATAGAGGAGAGGATAGGTGGAGAGGAAACAAACAGGTCGAAGAGGCGGGGATGG